TCTCTGGGTGGAGCTGGGTTGGGGTGCATGAATGAGCTAGTCATGTTCACAGCACAGAGGCGATGATTGTGACGTGGCAATTTCACTACAGGGCTGCATTGAGGACGTGGTGAAACTAGAGAATCAACTTTTTGAATGTCAACCCTTTCCAATCCGGTGTTCTGTTGTGTGATTTACATCGGATGCTGACAGTGCAGTGACATCTACATACCAGCTCTGTGTCCATATCCCGATCCCCTGGTGGGACAAATACATCAGGCAAAATGGCACTTGGTAATTCTCTCCTCCCTAGCCGGTTTGTGGTTTTAGTAAAGATCCCTCTATCACGCCCTCTGTAAAGCATTACTCAATTACTTCTGTTGGTTGATCTTCCGATTCCCCTTTGGAATAAATAATATGTCCCAAAGAAACAACTACCTCATTCATGGAGAAAGGACAAGAAACAAGACAACAGCCTGTCCCTTGTGACTGATTTTCAAATACTTTCCATAGAACTTCCCGGTTTGTAACAATTCGTTACACACTCCAGGCCGGCTCTTTGTTCGGATCTGATTTCGAGCTGGCCTTTGACTGGAAACATTTGCAACTAGGAGAAGACAAACAGTTAAAACGAATCATTCTCTCCTTGAAGTGACCAGCTGAAAGGGTTAGAGTTTCCTTCGGGAAGCAGCCAGCTTATCACCGTGAACTGTGCAAAAATCCATCACTTGCCTTATGTTTTCCCCCTACCCGTTTGAGAAGGGAGCCCAGCTGGGAAGGTGTGGGGTGGGCAGAGTGTTGATCTGTTGGCTTTCGAGTCTACTCTGTAGATCGTCCTCCCTCCCTTTCCGGGAACACAGTACAGATAAAGGTCTGCATCCCAAAAAGCCGAAAGGATTAGCAGTGGGTGTTGGGAAATCCGAACCCTCACAGTGTTCTTTCAGTCAGAAATGTCAGGGGAGCTCTTACGTTCTTGTTTGCACCTGACAACATGCCTCTGTGATGGTTTTACTCCCCTGAAAAAGAGGATGTGGCACCCAGAGTTTTACAGACAGGGAGCACTGTCTGTAGTTCATGGAGCAGTCGCCTGAGAGCCAGGAGTCCTGAATTCTGGTTGTCAGAGGGGCTGGGCTCAAGTCACTTCCCCTCCTCAGCTGCAAAGTAACTTTCCTTCCTCCCGGGGGGCGGTAATTAAGTTACTGTGCGCTGGGAATGTACAACGCACCTATATGAACCAAGCCTGGGGGCCACTGAGGCAAGTGGGACTAACCCTTGAGTAAGAATTGCCCCATGAGTTAGACTTTGCAATATTGGATCGCTAGTTATTAATTCGCATTTATGTTGGGATTGCTGTATTGGTGTTTTAAACGCCGATCGTGTGTATGTTATCTTTACAATTGATTATTGACCATAAATTATTAGTATCGTTATTTACTCTCCGCTGTTGTGTGAGTACGTGGGGTCTTGTATCTCAAGGGGAAACTCCGTTCGTCTCAAACTCAAAGCTTTGTCACTAAGATTTGGTACCTCTCTACGCTGGACGGGTGATTTACCTGCTGGCTGATCTTCAGATTCTAGCAGATACCTCGGCTTTGTCACCGACTCGGGGTGTGTCTGCGTGTGCAGGAAGATTAAAATCCAGCGCATGATGTTCTTACCTGTGGTTCCGTGGGCTGCCGCTTGAGCTAAAATCAGCACCAACCCTTTGGCCAGCATTGTTATGTAGTTCGTTTCAAGCTAAGGGGAAAACGACATGCTGATGCGACTGACAAGCCCTGCAACTCCCTCACCCTACCCCTGAACTGTTTAGACCCCAAAAGTCCTGGTGACTGGCACCTTTCACTACTGAAGCCTGGTCCTGCCCTTGTTTGGTTTTGAGTGCCGTTACTTTTGCCCAGGTGTGAGTGAAGAGATGTTTTTACATCAGATCTCCCTCGGACCAGGTTTCTTTTGGATAATTCCTGATTTTAACCGTAGCGGATTTTTTAAAATATTAATTTCAGTGGAAATGTGGCAGGGGAAGGGCTAACTTCACCCAGAAACTGCCCCTCTGTGGCGATCTCACAAGGCAGGAACTGGGGGTGATGTGTGATTTGAAGAGGGAAAAAATCTGCATGATGTTTTAAGGGAGAGATGAATGGTTCAGCGCGGACCAAATTGGGCATCCCGACGCCTGACAAATACAGCATTAAACTGTGAGCCTATATTTAGGAGCGATCGCAGCAAGAAGACAACAAACGCGCCTGCAGTAGGGTGGCACTGCCTGTTTGCCCGGCTCATGGCAGGGCAATTTCTCTTGTCAGTGAGCTCCTCCAAAGGAGGGCCGTGGGCAACAAGCTTCCAAAGTGTTTGCAGGAACTGAAACCTTGAGGGACCTTTACATTTCAAACGTGTCCGACCCAGCCTGCCCAAGTCCCTCTCCTTTGCCTTACGGCCCGGGTACACTTTCACTCATCATCTCTGTGGCAACTTAAGTGGCCACATTTCGATACACATTAGCACTCGGTTGCACCGAGGGTGTGTGCAGCAGAGCTGCCTCGGGATGGACGCGGCTCTGCTGAAAGCATCTTTAGCTTTGGTGGAGCTGGATGGTCAATCTTCTGCTCGTGGAGACCGAGCGTTGGGTTTGCCAGTTGGCATCAACCTAGCGTCACAAAGCCAGACACCGCTCCTGGGCAGGAACAAACATTGTATCAAGACACCAGCGCGGCTTGTTCAGATGTGCGACAGAAAGAAGAACACTGAGTACCTGTCATCTTTGTTTTGGCAAACCCCCTTCCTTCTCCTCCATCTCCCTTTCCCAAACTGCAGATCTCATTAGCGGTTCCGTACAGGAGGGGAAACATGCACCTTGCCAAACCTGCCAGCTAACTAGCCAGGGTATTCCTTAAGGGTGCCGCAGCCTTGCAAGCCCGGCCCATTAATATTGGGGATGATAGTGTTCGGGCAGGAGCGAGTTAAAAAGGACATTAACAATGGAATGTCCCTGCTAGCAGATCACTTAAAGCAATACACCCTCGCCCTGTGAGCTCCAGTCCTGAATTATTAATATTATTTCATGTTACATCAATGCGCCTTCTTGAAGATTAGAGGTTTATTAAGTCTGGCGACAAGTTTTAACCGATTAGCCATTCTCCCAGTAGAGGTCCTTCTATCCGAGTGAAATGCAGAACCCGGCTTTGGAAACCAGACAGTGGGGACCGTGTAAAGGGAGTTTAAACGTGAAAAGAAAACAGAAATGCAGTGAAACGTCAACTGACTGACAAGTCACATTAACTCCAAGATCGCGGTAACAGGTTTCTGTGGGGTGGTCACCTCTACCCCCAAAATAAACAATTGGATACTTCTTTGAACTGCAAACAGGGCATCTTATTATAGAGGGATGTTGCAAATGGAAATTCATCAGAGTAAAAAAGATTTTTTAAGAAGCCCCTTTTAATATTTGTTTCCCTTTTTTTTTATGCAAAGTATTTTCCAAGTTGCAGGTTAAAATAAAAAAAAAGGGTCCATGTAAAAACTGTGGGGTTGTGAACTGTGGCTGTTCAGCCCTGTGATTATTTAAGCAGCTTTTCAGCACATTATAAGGGCACATTCCCCCCACCCCCTTTCCTCTGGGGAGAGGATTTTAAAAGATCAAAAGAGAGCCACACGTTTGCAGCTAGTCACCGAAAGGGCTGATAAATTCTGGTGATAGTTTGCCGTCATGAATTGCTCAAGAGACACCGTGACTGAAAGCTGCAATATAGACCGTAAAAATGTCCTCAAGAAAAAATTAGTTCAATAGGCTTTTCAATGAAACAATCTGCCCAAAATAATATGTGCTAAAAGAGTGGCTCATATCACTGTCTCCATCGGTATTTCTACAACTAATACAGTTAAACAACAAAATGTTAAAAACAGAATGAAAAATTAGAGGGTCTTCCTATCAGAAATGTATTTTTAATTACAAATTGATGTTAATAAAAGGGAAAGAATAACGGATCGGTAGGATAGCAACAGTAATACCAGCTGCAATGTTCGTTAGTTTCTTATGATGACCTTTGATTTGAGAAATAAACTAAATTTAAAATAATTTGTTGTGCAGGATGGGATGAAATTAGAGGTGCAATGTATAATTCTGTTTAAAATATCTATTAAGCTCCTGTCAGTTTCAAGAGCAAGATCCCAGCTAATTTTTCTGCCTTTCTTTTCCCTCCAACAAATAAATTAATAAGGTTCACATGTAAATGTCACGTGCAGAAGCACCTTTTATGGGCACTCGTCTTGCACCTCAACATAAAATAGGTTTAAATAGTACATAAAGCATAATAACAAATACAGACTAACAAGTACTCCTGTTCTTTTTACAGACTAACATAGTATAGTAATGCGTTACTGAAATAAACCCAAAGTCATTCTTGGGATGTTAAGATAAAACTGTTTGAAATAGATTTTAAAATACTTGAGCGAGCTGGTTTGATTTAAACACAAGGCGAAATATACTTCATCACAAGAGGGAGATTTTTAGTAATTCATTCGGAAAGGAGAAAGTCTCCTTCCAAAAGGAGTGAGGGCTGGGGGCATGTCTGGATTTCAGCTCTCACACAAGTGTAATAATCACCTCTTGAATGGAAAGCTCTGAAGCAGATCGGAGGAGTGGTTGCTGCTGGGCTAGAAGGGACTCTCAGACCAGGTAAACAGTGAGGGAACTGCTGCTTCTTGAAGCGTGGGGGGACCTGAGCGAGAAAGAATCTTTGTGTGTTGCACGGCGTTCCGCGTTCCATTGTTCACTCCTGGCCAATCAATTCGCTCCCTCTCCATCTCTTCCAATCGCCTCTGGGGGCTGCTCTGGCGGCCTGGTGAAGTCACTGCTCCCCCCCTCCCTTCTCAGTGCTGGGCCTTGGGCTGATGCGTGCTGACGTCATGCTGCGTATGGGACAGGGCAGGCTCCACTTTCTAACTCCTCCAGGCTGGAGTAGTTAGTTAGCAAACAGCAGGCACTGGGCAGGCAGCCTGCTCTTTCTGCATCATAACACTTTGCACACATCTCTTTCTGCATGGTGGATATTATTTTTCATTATCCTTTTCTGGGTGCTATGGGGGATCATTCCAAGAGTAAGTTGATCTTTGGTCTGAATGATACTTGTAAATATTTTACTTGAAACGTTTAAGTTGATTCTACAAGTGGTTTATTTACAGAGATACTTTTAGAGAACATTATAAAATCGTGCATTTTTTTAAACTAGGATTATTTTTGCTCTTGCACAATTTATTGCTTTTTGTTATTTTTAAAATTAAAAGCTATTTTATCTTGCTGTGTCACGATCTCGGGCTGCAGAATTCGTTGTTTCTTTTTTTCTTTTTAAAGATTAAATAAATGTTTTGTTGGGTTTTGCTCTTTGGATGCCTTTTATTCTAATAGCTCAGGCATTCGTCATTCATTATTAATATATACAATAAGAAAAATGCAAAGAGGAAAAGAAGAGCATAGTTGTTTTTTTAAGTAAGACGAATAATAAATGCAGATGAAATAACCGGCAGATAAAGTTCATCTGATTTTCCATTGTGTTTAAATATCTTCCAGTTCTATATTTTCCAACCTTTATCCTAGTATTTACACCTACCAATTGCTTCTGTAAAATTTCCTTGCAGTTCAGGTGACTGTAAAAGTAACAATATATGGAGAATAGCTGATTGCTGCAGTTTATCGATTTCACCTTTTTCTTTCTTTCTTTCCATTGCCTGAACATTACTAGAGAATGTCTCCTAATTACGAATGCCTCTGTGATTGCAGTCCTTTGAGACAGTTCTGATTAGAAATGATATGCCTCCAGTATACGTTCTAAATTTCCTCTGCTCATTTCCACTGGTAGAAAAGCCCGGAATTGCCATGTGTGTGGGCTGTGGGAGTCAGATCCATGACCAGTACATCCTGAAGGTCTCCCCGGACCTCGAGTGGCATGCAGCATGTCTCAAATGCGCTGAATGCAGCCAGTACTTGGATGAAACCTGCACTTGTTTTGTGAGAGATGGCAAGACATACTGTAAAAGGGATTATATCAGGTGATTCAAAAAGCTCTTTATCCATTTAAAAAAAAAAAAACTTTCCTCCGACCCATTTCTTAAGAGCTAATTTCAAGAGCTCCCCATCTATGAAATCGCACCTCCTCCTGCTTGCTAAAGGAGGGAGCCAATACTTTTGTGATCAGGACAAATTATGTTCCTGTTTATTCGGCTTTGGAGACAGGAAGTTATTAACAATTCATACAACCAAACAAGAATATTAATAATAACCAGCATGTCGGCGAGCAAGAGGCAGTATTGAGCTGCACATTCCCTAATGCCTGTTACAGAAAAATGTGGGTAAGGGGAAATTTTCCTATTGACCCTGAGCCCCCTTATCGAATTGAATGAGTGGGTCAGATTTGTTAGGAAGAGAGCAGAGGGGACCCTCTGGATTTTGCAGCCGGGGTGATTAGTTACTGGGGAGGGTGAGCTGGGATCAGTGGGGTGAGTGTGTAGTAGCTTCATGGCCCTTTCTCTCCCGGCAGGTTATTCGGCATAAAGTGTGCAAAGTGCAAGGTGGGATTCAGCAGCAGTGATCTGGTGATGAGAGCCCGGGAGAACGTGTATCACATCGAATGTTTCCGCTGCTCTGTCTGCAGCCGCCAGCTCCTGCCCGGGGATGAGTTCTCTCTACGGGACCACGAGCTGCTCTGTCGGGCCGACCACAGCCTTCTGCTGGATAGGAGCTCGGCGGATAGTCCCAGGAGCCCCGGCCATTTACAGAGCACCAGAGGCCTGCATCTATCAGGTAAAGGAGCAACAGATCTGCCAGGCGCTGGGGCCCACCTGGGGGTGTGAGATCATCAGCTAGCTAGCTCAGTAAATACAGGGCATGGACACATACACCTCGTGTATTGTTATCCCTGGGGTAAAATGCCATGCACTGTACAAACTGCTATAGCTGTGTGTCTGTGATATGGGTAGATTGATAGATGTATGAATAATTTTCTATCTAATCTGCCTCTGCCTATTAACGCTGCAGGGACATTTATATCTTTAGTTGTCCCTCTTATGTGGCTACAGAAAATACATCTGTTATCTCCACCACGCTGTGCTGAGTTATGGAGGCCTAGGAGGTTTGGCCAGAGACTCCGCAGTTTTGAAGTGTTTCCCACCTGGCCCCACACTGGGAACCTCTCCCCCCCCCTCCATCTCCTCCATGTAGGCCTCTTTCTTCTGCGTCTGGGGAGTGGGAGGGACTGGACGTTACAGGCCACTTGCCAGGGAAATGTGAGGTTCTGTACACACCCAGAAGAGGAGAGGGAGAGGCAGACTGGGCGAGGGCAGAGCGGGGGTGTCTGGAGGCGGCTGAGGAGGGAATCGAAGTAGCTACAGGGCTGGGCGAGCATTATACAGTCCAGGCGGCTGAATATCTAGCTACAAATAGCTGCAGCCAAAACAAAAACAAAACCAGCGCACCTGGGGGGGGGGGGGGGGGGGGGGGAGAAAAGAAGGCGGCCCAGGCGGGGGGGGGGGGGGGGGGGGGGGGGAGGTAGGACTCAATGAGGCCAGCCAGTCGGGCAGGGGAGAGGGACTGTGACAGCCCTGGTTGCCCAAGGGAGCAGCAGCGGATTCGTGGGAAAAGCTAGAGGAACATGGCAGAGCCGGGGAGCGGCTACATACCCTGTTCTAGACACTGCAGTGATGCCAATAGGCACGGGAGGGAATTTCAACCACAGCCAGGACAGGACAGGAGGCTAGAGAGATGGCTGTCCTCTTGGGGTGAGGTCCAGTGCCATTTAACCGGCCTTCATCCTCTAAGGGCCAAACCCTGCTGGCTCCCAACCCCAAGGCAGTTGTGCTCAGATACTAGGGTGATGGGCTCTGGCCCAGGAGACTAGCTCGACCGATGGATCTGCAGCGTTTGGCCCTAAACTCCAGCTCCAGAGCCAGTCCCATAATGTGTATGCGAGCACACAGGACCGGGAAGACACGTCCAAACAACGGCTGCGCTTAGGAAGTTTTGGAATAAACGGGGATTCAGCCAAGGCACCCTGAACTGCCCCGGCAACAGGCTGCGAAGCTCTCGCTAACCGCGGGACAGCCCCGGCAGTGGTCCTGGCGTGTTCAGTGTGAACGGGACTAGAGCTCGAAAGGTGGCGTGTGAGTATCGAGAGAGAGCCAGGGCTGCTTCCCCAATGACCGCCACCCAGTCACTGCACACTCCGGGGCATCTTTCTATCATTTGGGGGAAGAAAAGCAGCTAGGACGGGGGTATATTTTCGTGCACAATCTGTGCTTTTCATAGGCTGCCCTCCTTTCCTGCGGGAATAATAACCCTGCGCCTGCACTCCGTTCGCCCGCTGGCCTAGGCCATGGATTAGTTCGGCTGGTTTGTTTCAAGAAGGGTGAGCTTTCACTAATCGGAAACATAATCATGTGGATTTTAAAAATATCGAGCTGCAAAGGTAAAAAATAACAAACCACCCCTGCTAACACCAACACTGAGTATGAAGGGAACCGAAGCGAGATTATTCCTCTGATCAGAGAGGAATGAATGGTAAAAACAAAACAAACCCTGTCTGCAGGAAGCCGAGATCCGATGGAGAAAGGGTGGAAGACCTGGTTTCGATTGTCTATTTTTAGGTCTATTTGTGCTGGCTGATTAGGATCTGAGCATATCGAGATTATACGGCGGTAATGCCGCTGTGTCTCCATAAAGATTCTAGCCTGGTCCTTTTTTGGATACTCTACTCACGCTGTTTTTGAAGGATAATTATTGACTCATTATAGTTAACTAGTTAAAGATCGCGGCAAGCCGGCGTTTCCCCTTTTGGGGGTGATGTTATACCGCCCGTGTTATTGATTATTAAGGAAGCTCTTATATTGACTCCTTCCCGTTCGCCGCGTGAGAAGTGCTCCTATTTGCACTGTTTTCGAGTAGAAATACCGGCTAAGGGTTTTTATTCCAAAGTACTCCCCGCCTGCAGATCCTACAATTCCCAGGGCATGGAGGACGCGCGGAGATTAATGGACAGGGTCACAATGGCTAGCTAGTTAGCACTTCAGCACGCTCTTTTCCTGATTATCCGGCTCTTTCTCCTCCTCCCCCACTGCGCTCTGCTCCGGTGCACCGGTCAGGGCCGTTCCCCCCAGCCTCCGGTGGGCTGTTTGATTGAACGGTTTTTAACTCTGTTCTCCGGGCCCTGCGCTCTGCAACGGGCCGCTTTGGGTGGCTGGGTGAGCGGAGCCGGCCCTGATTAGACCCTGGGTAATTTGCACTTGATATGAAATCTAATGGTCACATCTCACTCAGGGGCAAAATGCCCGTTTTGGAATAATTAATATGGGGGCGGGGTTTTATTTATCGAGCCTGTAACCCCCACCCAGGCTTTCCCCATGAAATGTCCTGCTCTAAAGAGTCACTTTCTTCCCCGATTCCCCAGTCGGGAAGCGGCGCGGTGCCTGGGCCGGGCCTAGCCTCTGTGTGCAGGGCAGCTCTGGCTCGGGGCCCCGGTTAAGTGAGTCTCGGGGCGATTTTCCTCCTGCCTGACTTGTATTGTTCGCCCTGTTTTCAAGAACCTCAGCGGCCAGAGCCTGTTTGTTTCTGGGGGTGGCGGCAGCAGCTTCCCCCAGTGCCTGGTGAGCTGTAAAGTACCGACACCCTCCCCCCTTGGGTGTTGAGCTGAGCCCTGGGATCCCCGCCTTGCAGTGTGTGTGATTTCGATTCTCCCTGTTGCCTACCCGGCTGGGGAAGCAGGAACCGCTTCCCCCGCCGCAGAGTGGCTGGTACAACTCCCTGCCTGGCTGTGCTGGGAGGGGGGGCAGCTCCGGCTTTGGGGTGCGGGTGAGAATGGCCTTTTATCTCAGAGGAGACGCAGGCCGCACTGGCTCTGGGCCTTGCGAGCTAATCTCCCAGGCTACATTTTGTGCAGGGGCTTATCTGCAACCCCTCGCTTCAGGGAAGCCCCTAGCAGGGACCCCCATAGTTTATCCGGGGGGGGGGCTTCACTGCAGCAGGGGAGGGTTGAACACAGACCAGGCCAGAGATCACTATAAATCCGCCCCCACGCTTCCTTCGCGGACTGGCTGGGGCTGGGGGCGCCTCGGGAAGTGGCTCAGACCCCAGCGCTAACTGGAGTTGGTCGCTTCCCCCTCGCCCCGCTGCAGACTCCGTGCCCGGCCGCCAGCCCTCTCTCCGGCCCCACGTGCACAAGCAGACGGAGAAGACCACCCGCGTCCGGACGGTGCTGAACGAGAAGCAGCTGCACACGCTGCGGACCTGCTACGCGGCCAACCCGCGGCCGGACGCGCTGATGAAGGAGCAGCTGGTGGAGATGACCGGCCTGAGCCCCAGAGTGATCCGGGTCTGGTTCCAGAACAAGCGCTGCAAGGACAAGAAGAAATCCATCCTGATGAAGCAGCTGCAGCAGCAGCAGCACAGCGACAAGACAGTAAGAGCAGGGCATCTTTTTCCACCCACACCAGGCAGGGGCCATTTTGCAGGAGGGAACGGTTCTCCCTGTAGTTCCCGAGGACTCCTGGCCTTGGCCCTTGATTTCCCCCCAATATTACTCACATGGAAATATCTGGTGGAGAAAATGTCTGTGTGGGTGCGTGACAGCACAGCCCTGGGGTATTTGTACAAGACATCCCCTCTGCTCCACGCTCCCTTTTATGGGATAAATCAGCTCACAGGGACCAATTCTATCTCTATTTACACAATTCCTAAGATCCACATAAATGTTTGTGTGAATTTAAAACAAAAATCCAATAGTAAAGATGTGTTAAATAAATGAATATCCCCCGGCAGCATCTGCAACCCCCAGAAGTGAAACTGGCTACAAATTGACCAGAAACCAAAAGTGAAACGGACTAGTCTGAGAGACATGTACAGAGTAAACAAACAGCAGGAGTAGGGACCAGCGATATAGATTTAACAAAAAATCGTTCCGCTTTAATAATCTACGGGTTTGTTGGCTACATAAAGAAAGCGATTTAGTTTTTAAAATGCATGAATTGTTATTATGAACCTGGCCGTGACCCATTAAGATATTTTGGGTTTAAGTTAAAGCTGTTTTGTCATGACAGCTACTTCATTCTTGCACTCGGGACATTGTTCAAAACGATAAAAAAATAACGCTCAACCCAAAGGGAAAGTGCTCTTCGGTGCTGAAACAAACACCCTCCCGGGGTTGTTTTTTAACTTCTTGGGAGAGCCCTAAATATTGGTTTGACCCTTTTCAAAGGGAGGGTGCTCGGTTACAGCCAAATCATGTCAAGCTAATAATAATTTGTACAAGTGAAATCCCGGACTGAGATGTCACTTTGGGTCGGTGAGTCTGCAGGAGAGCCCGGGGGAGGCACTGAGAACGAAAACCGGGGGGAGTGACTCTGTAACTCCGTTCTTGTTGGGATCAGGTAGAACGAAAGGCCCGGGCCCTGCTCCCCTCGGAGCGCCTGACCCGAGCAGCTGGTGGAACTGAGGAGCTTGCAGGGTTCTAGGCAGGAGGGAGAACAGGTCCCCGCACCTGGCACTTCCACGCGGCCCAGGGAGCCGGGAAGCGCAGCGCTGGGGCGGGCTCCAGAGGGAGACCAGCCGCGCTTTTAGAGAATCAGGACAGCTCTTGCGTTGGGAGAACCCGCGCCCTGGCGCTGACTCCTGCGGCCCCTGCAATGCCCCGGGCCGCGCCCGATACCGCAGAGCCCACCTGGCCTGAGACTTTGCTGCTTGTCTCCCCCTCTAGAGTCTGCAGGGCCTGACCGGGACCCCCCTGGTGGCCGGGAGCCCCATCCGCCATGAGAGCGCCGTGCAAGGCAACGCCGTGGAGGTCCAGACCTACCAGCCCCCGTGGAAAGCGCTTAGTGAATTCGCATTGCAGAGCGACCTGGACCAACCTGCCTTCCAGCAGCTGGTAAGAAGAGGCCGCTCGGCTCGGCTGCGGGAGCGGGAGCGGGTCCCTCCGACTGCTCTTTATTTATTACTCCCCGACCGTGATCACCGCACTCCATCCTGCTCCTGGGAGTAAAGTCATCCGCGGAGCGTCACGTCCGCGAAGGTTCCCAACTCCCACTGACATCACTAAAAGTTAGGAGCCGAACTGCATCCGGGGATCCCTGTGCCTAGATTTTTTGGGGGTTGACAGTCACCCTGTGCCCGGAGGAGGAATGGTTCAGGAGCGCTAGCAACCCACACTTCCATTTCCCTTGGTACATTTCGATGTGAATTAGAGAAAAGGGCTGTTCCCATGGGAGCTCAGCCCAGTGCAGCCCCTGAATACAGGCTGTATTAGGGGCACTTAGACCGTACGCTCCCTGGGGCAGGAGCTGTGATCCACAGCAGGGCAACAGAAATGTTAAACGGTCAGGAGACCAATAATGATAGAAAGGGGATTAGAGATGGGGACGGGTTCCTGGTGCGTGCCCATTTCAACGGTTCCCCGCACTCTTTGGCAAGGGAATAGGAAGTGTTCTTATTAACGAACAAAACAAAACAGCCAGTTCCATCGCACTTGGAAAAAGGAAGAGAGAGAAATTCCCCGGGACAAATCAGCTAGTGGTTTATAATTGACCATGTGCTAGTAAACAGTTACAAGGGGCCAGATCCAGACATTCTGACTCAGGAGTTTCTCATTCCTAGTTAGACGCTGAAATTCTCTCTAGACGGGCAAAACTGGCCCTGACTTCAATGGAAATTGGGTCAGGATTCCAGGGGCTGGCCCATGGGCTCTCTGGTTTTTAACACTCCGGTTCCGATGCCCGGCCTGCGCTAACTTTTCTCTGAGCCGGGTGTTTGTGGAGGAGAATCGGGCTTAGAAAAAGAAGCGGATGAAGCCCCCCGTTAATGTACTCCTCCGCTATCACTGTGATGTTTTAGAAGATAATCAAAAATTAATCTTGTGTTATGTTTAGTTAATATAATGGGAAAGTGAGACAGGAGTGCTGTATGAATAATTAAACGATCATTTACTAGCATTGGAAGAGCGAATTGATGAAATATGCTGCACATACATCACCCTGTGATATATGGAGCCCAGCACTGCGCAACTGCCACTGGACCACTGCCTAGTCTGAAATTAACTTCGAAAAGTCTAGCAGATTTCTTAATGGGCAGGAGAGCCTCTTCCCATTGCAAAGAAATCCCCGGGGGTTGCATTAGGAGTGTGCAGCACTGCTGAGCTGGGGAGATTTTTGCCATAGTGCCCAATAGGATTCCTCCAGGAGGAGGGAACTTCTCTCTAGGACGCCTGGGTTCTCATCAGCTTGGTTTGTTTATTTAATTATAGGTAATCATGTCCTATCCTTGTATTACGGATGAGATTTGTTTTGCCAGCACAAGCCCTGCCTGGCAGAGGGGCTCTGTGGTTTGAATGTTGGCAAGAAGAAGAATGAAGGGCTCTGCGGGTTGTGTCGCTCCCCTTGTGCTAGCCCCTGACAGTAGGCGTTTATGGCATTACTCTGAACAGGATGGAGGGGTTCTTTAGCTATGGGCATCCCTGCTTGGGTGGGTCGAGGCTAGGTTTAGAACAAGTGTTATTTAAACACGTTTGAACTAAAACATGTACAAACCCTGGAGGAGACAGGGCATGTTGTGTCTTAGCTCCTTATCTGCTGCAGGTGAATCTTAGCTAGTTTTAAAACCCTGCCTTGAACTTGGTGCTAGAATATTTTTTTAGCAGCGTCTAATTAAAACGGGTTAACACGATAAAAAAAAGCTTCCCCCAGTCTAGATAAGGCAGGGATTGGGGGCTCTGAATTCTGCCCACATCGCTCTCACCCATCTCCCCCCCCCTTCCTCTCCCCCCCAGGTATCCTTTTCCGAATCTGGCTCCTTGGGTAACTCTTCTGGCAGCGATGTGACCTCCTTGTCTTCCCAGTTACCTGACACCCCCAACAGCATGGTACCCAGTCCTGTGGAGACGTGAGACCAGCACACCCCCCAGCAGATTTGGACTTTCGCATGCTCCTGCTCCCTGCATGAGACAAGCCCAGCCTCAGGCTGGCCCAGAGCTCCAAACAAAACTTTTTATAAAAATATTATTTAAAAACAAACAAAAATATGTCTTGACTGCCAAAAAGCACCAGGATTCTAGCTGCCTTCACCAGACTGGAGAGAACTCTCCCTCACCCCTATTTTTTTCCTTACGGATTTTTTTTTCTCCCCAGAGGAAACCTGGATTTACTAAAATTAGCCCCCAAATCACGTACTGTATAATGGTAGTTTGTACATTTTTTTTTGTTTCGTTTTCCTTTTTGGAAGAAAAAAGGATCTTTTGTGTCTTTCTAAGACTATTGGAAGCCAGTTAACTCATCTCAGCTCGATGTTGTCTTTTGAGTAGTCATCTCCATCCCAGTGTCTCTCACAGCACCACATGAGTGAGATCATTCCATACTCCGCATTATCCCTGACTTGAGAACCTTGTCCTGTTTTGGGTGGGGGGAAAGGACCCCCCCCCCAAGCCGCATGATTGCTGGAAAACATATATATGGAAATGAGACTTTTATTGAAAATGTTAAGTTATCTTATGGACGGAGGACAGATTGTTTGAGCCTTTAAAGAACAAAAGTAAGTTATTGTTATTTATTGTCAGAGCAGCAGTTAATAGTGGGATTAATATTTTGATTTTAATAAAAAATAACCTCGTTGGAAAGTGATACATCGTGTGTGTATTGTTAACCAGCTCTGTCAGGTGAAGAATAAAGAGAAACCAAGGTCAAAATTCTGCGGAAATAATTCTAAGGGGCCATCCTTGAAAACAAATCTGCAGCTCGAAATTACCATCCGGAATCAAAATGGTCAAACTAGAAACAAGATAGGTAAATGACCTCTTCTGCCATGGTATCAGAGGCTTTAAAGGAATACACGGAACAGCAGGAATCCGTGTTGCTAACGAGCTCCCAGTAATACTGAGCTAATAAAACTAGCAACGTTCATCGAACTGCATTATTTATAACTGTTTTCTTATCAATGTATATTTTAAAAAACACCCTGGTGTGGATTTTGATTGATATTAAAAGGAAAAGCTGAATTGCTCCCCCCCCCCAATAATGATTGTATAATTTAATCGATTTGCCTTCCTGAATCATGGCACTACCTGTTAAAGCATCCTGTCTGCTATCACAGGGTATTTTTAAATTAGAAAACAAAATTATTTCCAGTTTCAACGTGAACCACTTTTCAAAACCCCAATGCAAGCTGCCCTTCTTCACAGTGCATCCCTGGTGAAAACGTTTGTTTTCTCAGCAGTAAGAGACAGAGATTTCATCTCCAGGGCAGCAGCATAGAAATGCTGGGCAGGGCTGGCTGTAATTCTGCTTCTCTTTGCAGCTTCTTATTTCAGATCACACTCAATTGCCAGCGACTGGGGTTGTCCCTACAAATCTATTAAATGTAGCACCAGAATTGGAGCTGTTTTGCTCTCACCTGTGATTCTGTTACTGCATTTACAGTTAGGCCCTAGCCTGCGCCCTCCCCCACAAGGCAGTGTATGGAGTGGGCTCTGGGTTTGTCCGGCTTTAGCTGCTGGGATCCTAATTCACAGGGAAAGTGAATTGCTCGGGGTGAACAGGGATGCTGTTAGCAGGGGCTGGGCAATCACCCGGCCCCCAGGTTCTTCCCAGGAGAATGTCATTGGGCCAAAGGTTACGTCCCCTCCCCCACTCTTTATTTCAGGATGTCTCTGATTCATGCGAGGGGGGGGGTGAAGGCACCTTTAGAGCGTGGGCGTGTGAAATATATTTATTGACAATTTGCTGCTCACTAAGGAGATGAGGATGACTCTGCATTAGGATCGTTGGCTCCCTTCCACCGTTGTAAAGGTGCAGTCAATCCAGAGCCATTCCGGATTTACACCGGTGGAAAAGAGGACAAAGCTGGCTGTTAGTAGGGCTAATGACTTGAGCTTGGCTGTGTATTAGTTATCTCACCCACCGTCCCAGAGCTAAGACCCACTCCGCCCCTCCCAAATAGTTAAAGCCCCTCTCCTGCAGCCCTTCACCCAGGCACAACTTCCCGCCGGTGTCGGCCGCAGTGGGCAGCGTTTTCAGCGCCCTCCAGCAGCCCAGGCTGCAGGCCGGGCAAAGGGCGCCGGCCCGGCCCTAACTCGCACTCACTGACCGCGCCACCTAAGCCAGCCCTGCTCCGCCTGGCCCAGCTGTGATTAAGCAGCCGCTGTTCCTGCAGCGGACACGCACACCTCGGTTCTGCTCGGTAGCTGCATAACTAACAATTAGGACGGCGCTCAGGTTGGGTTTCGGTTTACAAGGCTACTAATAGCGCTGCAGTCAGTGTAACAGGCTTTTCGGCACAGAGCCGTCTGCAGCTCATTGTCTCCCGGGCTGCAATGCCCAAGCCGAGGCATTTAGCAACCACGAATATCCTTTTTTTTTTTTGTTACGCGGCTTGTCACTCAAGAGGCCTAGCATTGTCTAGGCCGTGCAAAGCACTTACCCTAAACCGCTCTGCTAGCGGGGGCTAAGAGGCTGTAGAAATAAAACCCTTTGCACCTAGGGAAGGCGAGGGGCAGAAGCCGGGGAGATCACCCAGAGAACAGCCCCCACACAGGGAATCGCTAGTATCTAGTAAGTCAAATAATAACCGCCGAGCCCCAGACACAAGCCGCCAGCTCGACCTTTTAAAGGCCACGTAGCAACGAGCTAATTAACGCGCTAAATCCTGTGACAGCAGCCTGGGATCCCCGCGAGTGGCTCGTTTGTCCTGGCTGTCCCCAGAGTGGATTTGTGATGTGATCAATCTAGTTGCATTTATTAATTCTCCCGTCTAGACAGAGGCGAAGGCTGGGCGGCTCCTTATCTGGGTTTGGCATCACCTGCAAGCGATACACTGAAGGGAGCCACAACCACCCTCCGTTACGGGCGCTGCTAGTTCCCCTCGGCGAACCAGTCTGGCGTGTCCTGGGTTTATTTTCTTTACAGACCCAAAGGCGAAGGGTTTCTCTGGGGAGGGAGGGGCCCCGCTTGCTGCAATGGCCCCTGGATAGACCGTGCCCAGGTCAGCTGGTGTGACATTTCAAACCCCGCCGCCGGCCCTCTGTGTGTGTGTGTGTGTTTTAAAGAGAAACTGACTAGTGAGCGCAGGAAATAAGAGGCAGATATTGAATCTCCACCAGGCCCCCGGGCCAGGCCATGAGCTGGAAGCTCGGGTTCTCAGTCACAAATATTTAACCCTTTGTTTAACCCTCCGGTGCCAGCTCTCCGCCCCCCTCCCCTTTGGCAGTGGGAACCTGCCCCCTTGCAAGGGTCTGGCACAAGGCAGATGCCAGCTGAACGGGGCTAGAAGAGCCCCATAGACGGAGCTGCGGATGGATTTAGGGCTGGGCAACAGGGTTGTGGGCTTTGAGTGAGGGGCAGAGCTAGGCTTTGCTCAGAAGCTTGTCTCTGTGTCCCCCTAGGAGCCCCTCGGGCCAGCTGGGGCTGCAGGCACGTCACTGGGGGCCGGGAGGCGGGGGTGGGGTGATGGGGAGACGGTGGAAAGGGCCCGAAGTCTGGTTTTCTTCTAGTTCCCGAGAGACAGCAGCACTTTGCCTTTAATAATCTCTTTCTCCCGGGTGTAGGAAATGGGGCTGCAAACTCCGAGATAAGAGTCTAGATAGGCTGGGTTAATAAGGACCAGGTTCGCCTCCGCACTGCCCGGGCAGGCTTGGAATGAGCGCTGCTGGATCCTTGCAGATCGTGTGCACTTAACCTAGACCGCTCCCCTCCCTCCAGTCCTGCACACTCAGCCCTCCAGATCTCCCCTAGGGGCAGGCGGGGCCTGACCTGAGTCAGGGGCAGCGCCTCCAGACACCTTCCCCACGGATACAGTCCTCACCTCCACGGAGCGCCCCAAGACTACCCCGCGTGGCTGCTGCTGGAGTGGGGCGGAGCTGCCCCGTTTGCATTAAGGGGCGCGGGTTGCGGAGCTGATTGGAATCGCTGAATTGAGCGCATCCACCGCGCGCGGGGGCGTAGCTGTGTGTCTAATAGGCACTGGCCATCTCCGCAGCCCGGCGTTGGGCAATGCAGGAGGCGCTCGGTCATTCCCTGCCTTTGTGCCGGCTCTGACCAAGGGAGCCTGCCCGGTCTGCCAGGGACAGGTGGAGGCTGCAGGGTCCCGAGCTGAGGTCAGCGCCCCGCTGGGTTAGTTGCATCAATAAGGAAGCTCAGGTCTCCCCCAGCCAGCAGGGGTTTCCCCGTACATTAAACTCTCCGCTGCGGACAAATCTCCCCTCCCGCCTGCCGGCAATGAACCGGGCAGGATTGTGTGTCTGCCGCAGGGTTTGCGCCGGGCACGGGGCCAAGTGGGCCCTTTGGGGTGACTCTGTGTCTGGCCTCAGCTCTCTCTAGCTGCAGGTTTGTTTGAAGCCTGGTGAGTGTAACTACCGAGTCACTAACCTGTGCTGGGAAGTGGAGAAGTTGGATGCTTGGCAAACATACCAGTGTCCTCCCAGGTAAGGTCTAGGCAGCGAGCCGCCTGCAGGCCAGGGGGGCTGAACTTCATCTGGGCCACCAGGGCTGCGGGACCCAGGAGCAAACAGTCGGACCACCTGAGTTTGCAGAGGTGCTGAAGCGCCTGATCTAAAGGGAGTCCACATGGGAGTCTCCGCCGGGCAGCTGCATGCCGGGGGGATGGTGAAAGGGCTGCTTGGGAGAGGTGAGGGATAGAAAACGGGCTCTAAACCGGGACACAAAGGGAGGGAAGATAAGGGAACTTTCCCCGGCTGCAGGGTAGTCTGTGAGATACACACGGAGTTGGGGGAGAGACTGTCAATACAGCGCATTAAGATTTGCGGAGTCCATTGGGAAGCGGAGCCACGAAGCCACACGGCGGAGCGATGCTGCAGCTGCAGCCGGACCCTGGAGCAGCCAATAGAACAACTCGGGTAATTTAGACAAATTAAAAGTGGTGTCTGGAGCAGCCAACCTAGAGCGAGCCCCGCGCTAATTGGCGCAGCCGGAGCACGGGCCAGCCCCTCGTGCAGACCCTGTCGTGGCCACCAGGCAGCCGCGGCCCGCC